AGTAAGTAAGAAAGAAAATTAATTAATTAATTAATTGGAGTTTTTTTTTATTCCATCCTTCTCCCCACTGGAGACCCAAGGTGGCTCACAAGAATTAGAACTAACTATACACAAATCATTGATTTAAAAATGCTGCCCCAACAATTTTAAAAACAATGAAACACTTATCAGTATGAAAACTGTGATTTCAAAACAAATTAAAAACATTTTTGAAACATTTTTTTTTTGAAAAAAAATCTCTAAATTCAATACATGTAGCATTCCGGAGACCCTCACTTATTGCTTAAGAATCTGGAAAGGAAAGTCTTTGCCTACTCAAGAGGAAGGAGCCAACCGACATTCATGGGGCAGCCCATTCCAAAGTTTGGGAGCAGCCACTGAGAAAGCCCTTTCTTCCATGACACTGCTCTCCAATCAGCCACCGGTGGTGGCCACTTCCCTCTGCCCAGTGGTGGAGCTGGCACTGGGGAAAGCAACTTCCTTTGACCAATGGCCAAAAAAAAGACGCGGCACTGGGGAAAGCAACTTCCTTTGACCAATGGCCATGCCACTCAAAAACAAAAAAAAAGACGATCATGGAGGTGCATCTCTGGGTAAGGGCTGCCCTTGCGCGCCCCCCCCCCATGTTACTTGTCCTGAAAGAGAAGCCTCACAAAATGTCACCACCCAATCCAAGACAAAGATTTTCTGAAGGAGGCCCCATGGGTCTCTTCGGTTTGTATTGATTGATAACAGTGTTGTCAGCTTTGTAAGCAATAATGTTGAGCTAAGGTCTAGAACATCTGTTGTGACTCACAACCCTCACAACATCTGTTGTGACTCACAACAGGGTTCTCAGAGGTGTGCAAAATGTTGGAGGAGTGGTTTCCCCGTTGCTACCCACCAAGTAAGAGAGTGTGGCTGAGCAGGGGTTTGAACTCCTCGTCTAGCACTCTTGTCGTCACATGGGATCTCGTCAGGACATCCTTCCACAGATATTACTTCCATCATGAAATTGTACAATAATCTTAGCCACCGAACCAAGCCTGCCTGGCCTCCCTGGTTT